CTTCCGATCTAGAAAAAATTCAAGACTAGCATAGAAGTAAATTATGGACAAGCAGATATGAGCATTTCTGTATTTTTTTTTTTTTTTAATTTCCTTTTTGGAAGTCCACTTTTATTTACTCTATCTTTAACAGGGGCTTTACTGCGGAGTGCAGCTCTACAAGTTAAGAATTGAAACGACAAACTTGTGTTTGATAAACTACACAAGCAGAAGTGGTTTAAGTCCTTTGCGAGGACATAAGGCACCAAAATTAAGCTGTGCGTAACTTCTGAATTTTTAAACAGCAGAGGCTCTAGTTTTTCTTTAGTTGTACAACGCAGTCATTTGGTGAACTGCGATGGAAATTAATACGCTAACTGAAACCTAGACGCACTTCATTCACGGGTGCCTCAGAAGCTGACTTGCCTCTGCCTCTTGACTGACTTGTGTTGTGTTTTTCTTAAAGATTGCAAAGGGTCCAACATACTGTAAGGCTTTAGGAGATTCATTTAGACCACAGCAACCAAAAAAACTAGTTTTGAAATAACATTCTCTTGCTACTGAAGTTCATGAACAAGTAAAGTACTATGTAAAACTAACCCAGCAAAAGCCTGCACGCATGTAGGTTGAGCCATGAGATTGCTTTGCCATGCTTTTATCATTAAAATAGAAGTAAGTCCCTGAGCAGTGATGCTGGTCTTGTCTTCACAGTTCTCTCGCTCTAACGGCGTGTTGTTTTATAGCAAAGATAACCTGCAGTTTGCAATTTTGTGTGGAGAAAATAGCACAAAACAAGAGACAAAACAAACTAAAATGCTCAAAAGCCAAAATTAATGTTCATTCTTGTAGTGTGATTAAGCTTCCCATAACACGTAGACCAAAACGAAGCTCTGTAACTGACAAATGAGAACACCACAACTTGAGACAAGGTGGAAGTAGGTGGACTAAATTTATCGGTGCTTTGAAGACGCATGGTATTTTTTTCCACACACCAAAAAGCTCATGGTACCTGTATGCCATTTAGCACTTCAGCTCGCGTTCCTGTTACAGCTGGAGACCACCTTTGTTAGGATCACAAAATGGCTGTCAGTTGCCATTTGGGAGAACTGTGATACGGTTTCACCTCGGAAAACCTCTGCCACCCAGAGGAAGCCAAAGGAGTGCCATGGCGCAGCGTAAGGTGCAGTTTTGTTCTGCTGGTGGAGGTGGTCCCACGCTAACAGATGACTCGGGACTTGTGGTGTTACAGAACAAAGCTCCCTTCTCTATCATTGAAGAGCTAATTAGAAATTTTTATCTTTAAAATTCTCAGCATTATGCTTAATCTACTGAGAGAAAGCAAAAGTGTGCTGTTAGCTACCACTACAAAAATAGAGAACTTCAGGGGTTTTTCCAAAAAGAAATACTTCCCCCTAAATATCAGGAAAAAAGCTTGGGGTTGTGTATTAAAAAATGCATTTAAAAGATAAAATGCTTTACCAGATGAACAATTTCACATGGACTGTGATGCTATAAAACCTGAAATGCTACAGTGTGACACAGCAGTCATGTTGTTGCGCTAAAAACATCAGCTGCTCTGGCAGTTGTAGGTTGCGGCCCCTGGAGAGTGCAGTGACGTTAACGATTTAATGAACATGTATCCAGCTGAAATTTAGAGATACAATAGTTTATGGCTGATCTTTACCCTCTGGGCAGAAGGCTTTATTTTCAGACATTGAGTACATTACTTACATATAGTTTTCATGGTGGCCAGTTGCCTGTTAGTGAAATGAAAAGTGCAGTTACACTGAAAAATCAAATCTCTGGTATCTTAGTTTTTCCTAGTTAGCTGATTTTTAACAAGATTTGAGTTCTTTTGTTTGCTTTTTAACCCCTGCAAATGGACTGTAAGATGCCATTTCTTGGTAATAATCCATTATCAATAAGCTGCTGTTTGCATGCAAAATCCTCTGTGTTTTTCCTAAAATGTGTTTCTTTCTGCATTTCAGCTTGTTAGTGACTTATTGGAATTCTGTTTCTACACCTTCCGAGAGTCTCAGGCACTGAAAGTAGAGTTTCCAGCCATGCTGGTGGAAATCATCAGTGACCAGCTACCAAAGGTGGAATCTGGGAATGCCAAGCCCCTGTACTTTCACAGGAAGTGATAGAAAATGTCTTAAATGGAAGAACTTTGCCTTAAGTTTCCCTGTGTTATTCCACACCCATGAAGGACCCAAGAAACCATATTTTAAACATGCTATTTACACTTGTTCAGCAGTCTCTGAATAGTCTAAAATCATATGAAGGGTTTGGGGACTGGAAAGCAGTTGACTCGGATTTGGCAAGACCTAGATGTTTGGAAATTACCCCATAACCCTAAAACACTTAGAAAATGTTCCTGTTCCTCTGGATGAAAAGCCATATCTAGTCAGTAACTCTTTGATTTTGATATTTTAACAGATGGAGTTTTAAATATGCCATGTAGTTTCTGGTATTGTTTGCTTGTTTTAAAAGGGTTCAAGAACTAATGAGAACTTTTTAAAGCTTACCCTTGGTTTGCACATAAAACGTAAAGTCAATATGGGGCATTAATATTCTTTTCTTGTAAAAAAAACCAACAAAACCTATATATATACACACATATATACACACACAAACCCTAACGTGTAAAGTAATAACAGAACATTTGGTGTGGAATACTCTGTTATCCCCACCTGTGGCATTTGTTATCCCATGTTATCCCATCATAGATGATATACACTGTGTTAAGTGTCCATTTACTATTTAATTAAAAAGGATAAGATGTGAAAACAAATGCCCTGGTATCAATTTATGGTATCTATTGTGCTGGCTTTACAAATAATTTTTTGCAGTCTTTTGCTGTACTGTACATTGCTGTATGTATAAATTGTGAAGGACCTGAAATAAGGTGTAAGGAACTTTTGTAAATGAGACAAAAAAAATCTTTAATGGTTAATAGGATGAATGGGAAAGTATTTTTGAAAGAACTCTATTTTGCTGGAGACTATTTAAGTACTATCTTTGTCTAAACAAACAAGGTAATTTTTTTGTAAAGTGAAATGTTCTGCATGCATAATGAACCGTTTACAGTGTATTTAAGAAAGGGAAAGCTGTGCCTTTTTTAGCATCATATCTAATTTGCCATCCTACAGTATCCGTTGTAAATAACCACACTTAACCTTTTCGGTTGTATTTAAGCCTTTCTATTTTCCTCTATATTTTTCTCCCTTTTGTCTCGCTTGCAAGCGTATGTGACTTGAGCACATCTGAGAAATCCCGCTTCATATTTCTGTCAGAAACTACACTATGTTGCGTTTGCCACTTTACGAAGGTTTCATTTAACAAGACAAATTACGGTCTCTCCAAAGCTTTTGCCAGCTTGATGATCTAGTGAGTTCTTCCCCTCTATTCCCCTTCTCTCTCAGGGGAACAGGGGCGAATAAGATGTTGAGTGAGTTTTCTTTTTTTTATTAAGGTTTCCCAGATTGTTTGTTTTTCCTTTGAATACTGGATACATAAAACATCTTAAAAGGTCAGATTATTATTTCAGATGGGGGAGAGCGGTTTCTGATTATGATGACGGGAACATGCAGATCATTACAGTAAGTATATCGAACAGCTTTGTACTGGTGAGAGGGATGGTAAGGTACCGAGAAGGGCAGATTAGCTGAGTAGAATTTTTAGTGATAAACTAAAGCCGTATGTAATTTTGTAAGCATTTTTGTAATAACCTGAATACATCTGAGAAGACAAATGTTCACACTACAAGTTCAACTCAGTTGGTCTGATTTTGTCTCAAAAATGTTTTCTCTAGAATAAGACTGCAAGAAAAAAAATTTTTGAGGTGATTTTCGCTATTTCACAATTTATAAGCAAATACAAAATTTTGGAGTAGAATAGAGGACAGGTGAACTTTTCTGAGGCTCAACTGTTGCTACCATATGCTCATGTTTAAATAGAACAGTTTTTCAGAGTCCTAATCTGTAGTGTTCTTTCTGGGTGCCACTGGTATTTTTGAGCTCTAGTTTGTCCCTTGGCCGGTCAGAATGTAGCATTTCTTTTAAACGGTGGTCGAATTAAGAATTCTACACCCTTTCTGAGTCCAAATTTTGAGGTGCGCTTTGGTGCACTGAAGACAGTCAGTGCTACTTGTCTTTTTAAATGACACCTGCCTTATGCAATGAGTAACCTGTAAAGACTGTATTCAGAGAGGTTTTTTTATATATAAATATATACATACATATATTATTTGCATTTTGGAAGTCTAATTCATAGGCAGATCTTTAAATACTGACCTGCACAGCAATATGAAAGCCAAACTTCCAACGTGAGACACACAGCATGCAGACTGGTTGTTTACAGTAAAGACACAGTCATACATCCATCTTTTCATTTACACTTTTTTTAAGTCTAAAACAGAAAATCTCAAAGCCAGGTTCTGGGTGAATACAGTCTGCAGCAGCTTTTTATATTAACAAAGTTACTGCCTCCTTTTGTGTCTCAGAGTAACTTTGCTTGATTAAAACAGCCAAAGCCATATCTACACTTCACTGTTAAATGCCTGTCCCAGTCCAAATTGTTGTCTGTTTGCTCCTATTTTTGACCTTATTACTTTTAATCTTGGTTTGGTACAATTCATAATTCACAGAAACTTCATATAATTAAACACACTAAATTAGTTTTAAAAAGCAATTTATATCTTTATGCAAAAACGTCTGTCTGTCTTTGCAAACAACTGTAAGCAGATGATAATAAATCCTTTACTTTAATCACCTGTTGTTTATGAAACCATTCATTGATTATTATTTTTTGCTAGAGATCATTGAAGTAATAGATACAATTGGATATAGATGTTGTAAGAGGCAGTATTCTCTTATCAAGGACACTTAAGCAGAATAGCCATCACTTTTTTAATCTAAACCTGTGTACAGCAAAAAAAAAACAAACCACAAACCAACCCTAGTTTTTAGCTACTGGGAAGTTACGTTCTTTTGAATTTGTTTAGAATGAAATAGGCATTTGTCTCCTGCAAAATACAAGACAAACTAAAACACCTTTTAGAAGTGGGCTTCTGTTCATTGAGCTAAATTATTTTGTTGTAAGAAGGAATGGGGATATACAGCAAGAGCATTGTATACACAGTTAAAAAATGTAAAATAGTGTTTAATGTACTGCAGTGGGTATTTCAGGAATACTACACATCGTGCGACTGAACAGTTGCGCAAAATAAAATAGAAAAGACTAAAGTTTGCAATATCAAAATCTTATTAAAAAGATACTTTACAATCAATAATGCAAAAAGCTAATTCACAGGGTGGTGTTTTTCACTGACTTGTTTAAACATTTATGAAATTAAACAATTCTACAGTTAATGCACTTTTAATTGTTTATTAAAGATCTGACTTTTTCTTTTTTTAGAGCAATGTTTTCAGCTGGAGGTCAATGACTTGATAAGATAGACAGCAGTTCTGAGGCCAGGAATCACAGAGGAATGTTTAAGAATTCTTGGAGTTTAAATAGATTCCTGGATGAAAATTAAAAGCAGCCAGCAGTATGGTGTAAACAGTAAAATCTATGCATAATGATGCATTTATAATTAGGGGTTTGCTTCTGTATGTTTAAAGCTTTTTAAATAAATAGAAAATATTGTTTGGTCTTTATGTTAATGTCTGCAAGTACCTATTTTTCTTTTTTCTTTTTTTTTATACAAATTGTACAAATATACATGAATTAAACTGGTTTGATTGCAAGTATTTCTTGCATCTTAATCTCAGATAGGTGCTGGTGCAGCGAGATCCTTAGGGACAAGCTTCTGCTCATCTAGAAACGTTATTCAGTAACTAACAATGTAATATAACATCTTTCTTCATACATCTAGAAATTTGGTTTCATCAAGCCCTATTAATTTGGATGACGCAGCACATACGATGGCTTCAGCCAGAGAGCAGCTACTCACACTGTAGAATAAGGAACGCCCAACCGTGAGGAATTTGGTTCACTTAACCTGGATAACTGCGCTTGCCAAATGACGTGCTGACACTGTTACACGCACAAGCTACATCCCACGCAAAGAAACAAACCCAGCAACCTTCAATAGCCAGACAGGTCTGGCTTCCAGTTTCAGTTAACCTACAGCTGCTGTACCCATTGACCAAAGTTAGAATTTCTCTCATGGAAATAGGGGTTCACTATTTTATAAACACAAGGTTTCCCCAGGGACTAAATCAAACTGCCTTCTCGGGGTCAGTTTATAATTATAGTAAGAGAGTTAAGAAGGGGAAATAAAACTCTCGCTGTCCTGGTTTGTTCTGTGCACTACCTATCAAAAAATCGCCGCTAAGTTCTGCACGAAGCTAGGTCTGTGCTGTAAGACCACCATTTAATTGCATTTTGGTTTTTTCATGACAAAAATCCTTGCACCTGCCTTCTGTTCGCTGAATTGTCAGAAGGAAAGAACAGTAGAGGATCAGCAGTGTTAAGAAAAATTTCCCATATGTTTACAAGCAGATGTATCTGTCTCATGCTGTTCTAGAAATAAGAAAACGCTATCACTACTTAAAAACATAACGGAACTTGTAATCTGACTTCAAGCTGGGACGCTGCTTTCTTTCAGGTATCTACAGAGACTGGGAGTTTGTGATGAGTACAATATTTCTAAGATAGAAAGGAGTGAAAAAATGCCCTTTCATTTCAGACATTTTGCCATGCCGTAAGGTTTTTAAAAGAACGCTTTAATCGTAGATGTCGATAGGATGAAGTTTATTTGGTGCTTACCTGTGGTTACCGCAAGCACAGATGAGGGCACACTGTTGAACTCTAACGTAGAAAACGATGTCCAAGGTACATTCAGCTTAAGAGGTGAAACTCCAGTGAAGGCTTTCAGTTAAACCGTGTTTAGCACTGGTGCATTTACATCCTACGTAAGCCCTCTGTCAGCAACTTTTCTCTTTAAATTGCAAACCAAGTAAGAATTGTGAAATGGATTAAGAGAAAGAGAACAAGGAACAGAGCATTGAGAAAGGCAAGTTTCTCCCCGAGTCTTTTCTGCAATACCATTACAGAGGCTCAGCTAGCAAAAGCTATAAGCAATGTAGCAGGAACACTTACTTTCATTACAGGGCAGATAAATCGGCCAATGAGACTTTTTCTTTCACTCCTGATGAAAGTCTGGGCACCAGAAGGAAACCTGCCATGAAGATCAGCTGGGACAATGATTAACAACATTCAGCAGCCTGAAAACCCCAGGGTTTTTCACCTAGCAGAGTGAAAACACTGCCCGGCCAAGGTGCAGAGCCGCGCGCTGTCCAGTGACTAACGCAGACTGTAAATTCCTACTGATCCCAGCTAGTCAGGAGTCTCAGCTTTTCCATTAATTATTCAGCAAACACATATTCGACCTTAATCCCCAGGCTGAGGGATTCAATCTCTGGCCCCACAGTGATGGCAAGGCAAACGTCATTGTGCAAAAAAAAGCACAAAATGTTTTGTTTTTTCCTAATTCACCCGCTCTAATTTTCAGCCTGTGTCATGCATTCACCACCAGGAGTCTCAGCTTTTGAAAACTGACAAGTACATGCCCCTACACACATAGCGCACAGCAAAGGAGGGGGAGCCCAGCCTGAGCATTAAGCTGAACCTGTACCCACAGCTGTGACACAAGAGCAGTTCCCCGTGAGAGGACAGAGTCAGGCCAGCCCCATGGAGAACGACCGCTCCTGCTGCCAGGCCAAAAGAGAAGAGCCCTTCGACCGGCTTTCTCCACAACTGATTCCCTGCCCTCCTTCCTGCCTCAAGTTAACAGTACATTACTCTGCTCTTCCCAAATCTACCGAGCCATGGAAAAGACAGACAAGAGGCATGCCCTAAGGCCCAGCTTCAGGAAAGAAAACAATCTCCAGGGATAGGAAAGGGGCCTGACTTTATATGATTTTTAACTTTTGGCATCCTTTAACCTGTACTTCCAAACAGTCAGTACAAGGGCATCATTTACAGCGCTGTTCAGCAGTGAGGATGAAGAATGAGATATGCCATGGCTACCTGGCTGTACAAGTCCGTACTCGGCATCAGTATGACCGAGCTGATGTGGAAACCTGTATGGTGCGTAGCAGTTACCATAACTAAATTCCTAAGAGACAGTGTGGTTAGCCTGAAAGCCAGATCTGATCTGGCTCAGCTCACAGTACTGCCTTTAGACAACGTCTAGGACGCGAGAAAGTGTGGATTAGCATTACCTCTGCTCAGTGTACCGTTTCTCAGTAGCAAAGGTTTCTTCTTGTTTGGGTGCTGCATGGCCCCAGAACTAACAGGAGTCTCAAAACATCTCACCTAAAGGCAAGTAGGGTCACAGGACTGGATGGAAGAGACACTAAGTAAGTCTTTTATTCCTCCTCTATATATCTGCCTTTTTAAACCACCTCAGTTAAAAGGAAAAAAAAAAACAAACCAAACCACAGAGCTAGAGCTGAGAAATACATTGAGAATTGTGGAAGACAGCAGCCAGAACAAGATCAAACACGCACTGCACGTTTAAAACAACACCACCACCACAAACAGAAGCAACTTACAAAGCTTGTAAGCTTCAAGTTGTCACAGCTTCGCTATCTGACAAGCCAGCATACCTAGCTGCCACGCCTACTAGGCTAATACCAAAGATTTACATTCTCCCTCTTCTTTCAACATGTTCCACCAACTGGTAGCCATGAAAACTGAGCCTGGCCACACAAACACCATCCTGCCTCCAGAATGACTCTTTAAGGCCACAAATGAGTTGATAAAGCTGTGGGCCCAGGCAACACGATGCTTTGCCACGTGAACACTTCTGAACAAGGAAACCTGCAATCTGTTGCTGTATGTACTGGTGCAACTATTTCCTTAATACTGAGTCAAGGAGCAAATTAAAGAACTTGATCTCCTTCACAGAAGTCCAAAAGTCATCTTCAGTGCTTGGGTCACTTAGCCACTATGCCAAGACAAGAACTGCCTAAAAGCTGTATGGCAGAGAGTCACTGCTCAAATACCAGGAGAATACACCAAATGAAACTCCTCCAAGCTATGAGGTTTAGTGCTGGAGAGCTGTACTGACTTGGCCCACCATTGCTCCATCTGGAAATGATTTGTGCATAGTCCAATGGTCTCTGCAGTCTGGGCAAAGGAACAAAATAATGGTATGGAGTTAAATCTTAAGGGGGAAAAAAACCATCCCAACCTTAAGGCAGCATTAACCATTAACTGGTTTACTAATCACATTAGTTAGAAAAACTTGCAAGCTAAGTATATCTGCAGTAAATGACTCAAAATCCACGGAGTCCAATTTAAAAAATAAGTGAGCCTGTATTAGCACGTCATCCCATCACATTTTCCTGCATCCTCTCCACTGCCTCCCAGAGGGTCTTACTTGAAGGAGAGAAAAATACAAAGATAATGATAAACTGCACGTAACTTTTTTTTTTTTTTTAAATCACAAAGCACAGATTTATACACCACAAGATTTCTGGAAGCTTTTTCTATGACCACAGATAACTCTCTTACTGCTCAAATAGTTCTACAAATTATGAAGCAGCTACTTGAGGATTCCGATACTACCAAGTATCAAGACCTTACAACTGACAATTACAGGGGAGGAAGAAAGGGAAGCTCAAGGATGAGCTAGACAGACAGACAACAGATAAAATGCAAGATTCCTCCAGGATGCACAAGGTTCATAGCCAGAGATTCTCTTTTCCTTTTGGCTTGAGCTTGCCGAGTTGCCTATTTTAAGTGAGGAAAGTTCCTCGCTATTTTGGAGCCTGCTTGAGGCCGACTGCATACAGCTGCCAATAGTTGTTTCATGTCGCAACTTACAGAACCAGAGCAAAATATTCTCCAATGTAGGAATGACAGGTCAAATAGCAAATAACATTTTATTTCATTTACAGTGATACTTTTGAGTAGCAAAGGAACCATGACATATAGAAGCCTGTAATAAAAGTTCATGTGTCTTATCTTTATAAAGCAAATGAAATCATACACACAACATAAACGAATGTGTTCTTTGAAGACATTTGAAAAATGTCATGTCTTGATACCTATTATTTTACTTACTGGTGTCTGTTCCGTACTGCCTATTCCACTTTGAAATATAATTTAATTGTCAGCATGATAGCTTTTTTAATCCAACAGTATTTTCCAAACCCAAATAATACTCTGTTAAAAATGCTGGTTATCGATGCACAATCTCCAGGACACTAAGTTTATAAAAATCTTCTCCAGCTGACAGTTGAGTCACAGATCAACCAAATATTTGACTTAAAATGCTAGTTATTTTGCAAACAAACATTCCACTACTGCTCTTTACAATTGAAAAAAGCACCCTATTAAAAAATTAACCTATCCCTCCATCCCCCTTTCTTGTCCCCCCACCCATTCCAACCCTTAAAGAATCTTTTTTTGTAATTCGTATTTGGCAACACTTAATGTCTTTATACAGATTAGGATCTTCAACCCAATAAAAATCTAGCTGACAGTTGAGTCACAGATCAACCAAATATTTGACTTAAAATGCTAGTTATTTTGCAAACAAACATTCCACTACTGCTCTTTACAATTGAAAAAAGCACCCTATTAAAAAATTAACCTATCCCTCCATCCCCCTTTCTTGTCCCCCCACCCATTCCAACCCTTAAAGAATCTTTTTTTGTAATTCGTATTTGGCAACACTTAATGTCTTTATACAGATTAGGATCTTCAACCCATAGTCAGGCTCTTCGTTGATTAAAAGCAGTCACAAAAGTAGAGAGAAGTGACTATAACAAAAATCCATGGATACCATGTACACCTTCTTGGCGTTCAATGCACAAAGCTATAAAAACTGAACATAATTTTGGGGAATAAGTCCTCTCTTTCCATTTAGCGTGCCTTCTAGCCATCCTGGTTCTCTGGAAAATTGCACTGCAAAAGAAAAGGAAAAAAATTACTGCATCTTTTTTATGCTTGAATTAGTACTTCTAGCTTTAGCTCCATGACACCAGGCAAAGCATCCATAAAAACATCCAGTCTTCCGCAATGACCAGCTTAAGAATCTGGCTTGGAATGATGAAGAGGATGATTAACTTAACTTAAATACTTGCATAATATAGGTGCTTGACCTATCTTCTGCGAAGTATACTTGCTGAAATAGCTTTTAGGTGCAGGAGACTTCATTAAGGAAACAGTTAATGGAACTTAGGACGGGTTTATAAAATAGAAAATCTAGACGCCTTTGGGGAGAAGTTAGAATTCCTATCAAACAGTGGAAAACAATTTCAGTAGCTGGGGGCAAAGCAAGACCAAAAACCTGTCTTGAGCAGAGGTGATGAATCTGGAAGCTCAGAGCCACAGAAAAATGGCATAGGACCTTACTCTGCATGAAAAGTAAGCATGTAAAGGATTATAGGGGAAATAGAAATAAGCCAGATCTCACTCCAAGTAGCATCTCTTCACAGAGTTGAGCTGCTATTGGAAGAGACCAATGGACAAACTGAATCATTCTTCTGGTTAAATCCTCCCTCTGAAATTTAGATACATAGTGCTATTCACAAAGGAAAAGTTTGAACGATACGCCTTGTTCCTTATTGCCATCCTAAGTGTTTGCCACTGCTGATGCCAAAGTTCACGCAAGAGTATCCGTGAATCTAAAATAAGAAAAAATTCGGCTCAGACTCTAAATGCCCCACAAGTTATTCTGTGAGCAACAGAACTAATGAAACCTGGTTTCCTATATATATCTTGACCACATTTGACAGGAAGTTAAAAAAGAAGCATAAGCCTCATTTCTTTGGAAAACAGACTAAGAAGTCCTCAAATTCCCCTATCAAATTTCTTATAAGAATATGATACAGGTACCTACTTACCTATGTAACCGTAAAATCCCACACTTTGAGCAACCTACGATATTCTCTACCATATTAATTTATCCTCACAGTGCTTCTGAGACAGACATTATTTAGGGAAGAGATCAGACAAATGCTGAAACATGCTGCCAGCCATGTCAGTGCTTTATTTAAAACACATTAACACATTGGGGAATGTGATATTTGTAGCCTTCTACAAATCAGGGAAATAACAGTTAAGAGAGAGCAGCATGTTAAGTCTCACTTTCAAAAGCATTGTAAGGCTCTAAATTTGAGCACTTACCATACTTTCTCCTAGTTTTTTCCTTATGTCCTATTATTGTCAGACAATGAAGCTAGAAGCTGTGCTCAGAAACCACGGTTTAAACAACAGCTATACCTCTCCAAGGAATCCAGAAAACAAAACTGCTTTCAAATGATACTGATAGTTTAGATTCAGATCAAAAGTCTGGGCTTATATTTATAATGAATATGTTTGACAGAAAGATTCCAAAGGAAAAAATACATAGAAAATTACCTTTTAGGATCTCTGCACACACAGTAACTTACATTACTATTAGTAATTAGCAGGCCCTCCTCTCCCTTTGTCATTTTTATTCCACAATTACAGAGTACACATGCATTTGAAACTGCATTGCTGACACCACCACAAACCTCCCTCCAGAAGCTCCACCGCAGCGGCTGTAATTCTACCCTTTCCAGCAAATACGCCAGTAGCTCTAGCAGGCAGCCAAACCTCTCCCTGAAGTCTCCCATGCCTATGGAGCACATCTGTATTACAGGAAACAAACTCCTAAAAATGACAGATTAGGAAGAAAAACCAACTAGAAAACCTGGAAGTAGGAAATTTTTACTTGTCCTCTGGAGCTCAACCTCAATTTACATTAGAGACAGGATAGATATTACTGGCATGTGAGTGTCTATAAATCAAAGGCCTGTTCAAAATGAGGGTAGCCCTCATCTGAGGGGATCACACTGAAATTTAAATTTACCTAAAATTTACCCAGGGGAGGAAATGCTCAAACTATGCTGAATCACTTGGCTCAACACAACAACAAATTTAAAAAAAAATATTTTCTAAACAAGTTTGATAACATAATACTGAACTCTGCGCACTGCAGCACATTCAGAGATAATGCACGACGGCCGAGCAATTGGACTTGAGTGACAAATACCATTTTCACCCCAGAAGAGACTAGACATGGATGGTACAAGTGAGGTCTGTGCTTGGGAAATTAAATATCGTACATGTACGTTACACAGCTCAGGGCCTCGTTATTTGTCAGCAGAAGTTTCTTGTAGACTCTGAAGACTGAAGAAAGAATTAGCACTCCGATTACACCTAAGAACACCATTTCTAGAGATCAGTCTTTTTTTAAAAAATGCACCAAGAAGTAATTTTTAATATTCAGCAGCGGTGGTGACTGTCATGTCAGGCAAGACTTCTGCCCCCATTCAAATCACCTTACGCAAGAAGGGTTAAGATACCCACGTACATCACTGATGACTTCTGTAGGCAAATGATATTAATGGGGAAGCTGTCCAAATGTAAAGCTGCTTTAAGCTCCAATGATCCTGTTTGCTTTGCTAATCCATTTCCAAAGTTTAGTGTACAACAGCATTCATTTAAAATAAGAAACACTTTACCACACAAAAGACATTTCGCTATCATGCACAGCTCTTCTTAAACCCAGGACACGGGCTATTTCTGAAAAAATAGCCTGCTCAAGAGAAGATGTTCCGTAGTGTCCCCTTTCTGTCATTTCTTCTCCGTCAACAACGATTACAGTTCTTAGCACTTTCTCGGGCCGGCCTCATTTAAAAATACCTTGCTGCAGATACCACACATTTGGCCTTAAAATTACAACTCATTATTGGACCAAGCATCCCATAAGACTGTGTCTTACGTTGGCTAGGGACAGGAGGGGAAAATACTTGTATGTAAAAGATACGGAGCAGAGAACTAAAAATTAAATATTTTCAGCAAGGTTTAACAAGTGTATATCCACAAGACGACCAATCAAAGAACCACCACCAAAAGCCATCACCTCTTAGGACAGTGGAAATAGCCGCAAAGTTGAGAGCCCAGAGTGGGACGGCAGCTTCCTCAGTAGCTGCTGCAAGGCCATTTCAGCAGTCTTCCTCTAGCGGAGGCAAAGTGTAGAGAAGGAGAATGTCTGACCATCAGTAACGATGGCAAGCACTACAAACAATCACGCCAACTCAAATGGACAAACAAAGTCAACAGACTTTCAACTTGCAATGAGACCTCTAAGTAAAGGCTTTTCTCATTTCATCTAATCAAGAAACACAATAAGGTAAACTTGGTATTTGCAGTATTTCTTCCTACTTTTCTGTATTCTCCATAGGAAATAGCTTCAATATTGCCAATGTTATGATTATCTAACTGCAAATACACAAAATTTGCTAGCAGCTCTTCCCAGAGACCCAATGCTATAAGCAGACCTTGTTCTGCTTTGGCAGCTCAAAAGTTTCACGTGTCTCAACTACAAATGAGACCAAGACTCATTTCCACAGTTGTACATTGCCTAGGTGCCACTAACTGTGGCAGGACTGAATCAGACACTGATTCACACTGATTTCCACACCTTTGTGGAAACCAGCTGTTTCAGGAGGAAACAGAAACAGGGGAGGCAATCTAACACACATGGTGCCTAGCACAAGAGGGCCTCCCTTTCTGATGGACTAATTTACCAAAGTAACGAGCCCAACGAGCCACATAAATGAGGATTGCATTTTGTGGGCAACAGAAATCTCACTGCTAAAACCACTAGAACACCAGAATAGATTTCCAGAGAACTCAATCACGCTGGGCAATTTTTCACCAAGAAATTAAATTAAAGCAACAAAATGTGCTTGCAAGCCCTCCGTGTTTAGAAATCCCTATGGATTTTTGTAACAATCCCTATGAGTGAAGTTGACCGCAGAAATACACAAACATTCAGCATGCTTAGGGTTAGCATGGAATTCAAAATTTAAAAACTTGCTGTTTCCCTTAAGCATGTTGTGAGAAGCAGAATTATCTTGTGGACAGGACACAGCGCTAGGAGTCAAGGGGTCTTCTTCCTGACTTTGCTAAAGATTTACTGTGTGACCACAAATAAAACAGTCCGCCTATAAGGGGGCTCAGGCTTGTGAACGAAAACAAACACACTGATACACCATGACAAATTAGTGAAGGTAGAATTCAGCTCGCAGACTGAGACTTCCCTATATAGAAGTGTCAAAGCTCCTATTACAGCTGGTAGAGATTTAGTCAATACAATGACTAGAGAGAGCGCCCAAAGAATAATTTGGCTCACTCTAAAAGAGAGGCAAGTGGTTGGTCAGCTGAGTTGCTGCTGAGTTCCCTACGCTATACCTTGGTGACCTGTGTGTAGACATTGAGACTTGGGGTCTTTCTCCTGAGTTGATTCCCATCCCACCTGACAGCTGAACATATCTGACAGTCCTGCACACACACCAACTACAAGCTAAAATGCATCAGTTCAAACATCTTCCATTTTGACATTTCTCTTCCGGAGACCACTGCTTCCACAACACCGTTGGCAGGAGCAAAGTCAGACTGGTTAAGGTCAAACTACCTTCAGTGACTTCTTAAAACTTCTAGCAAAGGCAGTAGGAATTTGGTAGTGCTCATCTGGTACTTTTTCTTGGTGAAGCTATTTAACTTTCCACAGCAGTTTGAGGTAACTACTTCCAAATGGCATGGACATATCTGAAAAGGAGGACCTCTGTCCACAGCCTGTACACTCAGTTTCTCCAGGTGTAAAATAGAAATAATTAATGCACATGAATGTTTCCAAGTGCTTTGAAATCCACAGACGAAAGGTGTACAAAGAAGTAGCTTTATCCTCATTTTTACCTCAACAAAAGATTTATTTGCACATACAGCACAATATAGTATTTTGGGAGTACTACTTCTCTTTGATGTAAATCCTTCATTTGTCAGTACCATAAAGAAAGACAGTCCAGAAGCCACAGCATGAATAAGAGGGAAGGGAGTGCCTTGGAGTCAAAACCCGGGACATTAACTAAGGCTGGCACTTTGTTACACTAGAAAAGATAGAGAGGGATGACAACGGCTGTGTGAACACGGCTTTTTGTGTTCCTACTATGCTTAGTAGGGACGATCGGTGCCACATCTTTCCTAAGGAAAATTACTGTAACAAAACACTTTCTCAGTTTTCCCCATGTTTTCTCTCCCCTAAAACCTGTTTTTAAAAATTGTAGAAAGCTTTGATGAGAGCTATCTTGACAAGTTTTCAGGAAGCCTTCCTGCTAGCAATACTGCCAAGGAATTTTGTTGTGTAAACACCATTTACCCTATCTAAAACACTTCTCCCTAGTGAAATTCCCATTTACTGACTTCTAAGCAGTCTCTTTCAAGAACCAGAAATTTAATAACACTTGGCTCCCAGGCTGGCAAGGTTTCAATGCCAGGCAGTCTGATTATTCTTTCCATGGTTATTGGGAATATCTGCTTCAACAACAACAAAAATATACAGCCAGCATATGTCTCTCTCAGTCTCAGATCATACTCTGCTTCTTCCCATATGTGCCCTTATCCAGCTGCAAACTCTTCAAGCTTTGCTTCTAACCACTTGAATTATATTGTTACGTGCTGTCAATAATACAGCCTGTAGCAACTGGGAAATAAAAATATTGGCACAGCCTAAGGTAAATTGAATTGAAGATTTAAAAAAAAATCCAGTGGATATTGTTCAGATTACATTATTCATTTTCTTACACAATTCAATTAAACTTTGCCTTTTCTTTTTAACTTACCAGATGGCACCTTAGCATTTATATTCTGTGACACTTTAATGGAAAGACTGTGGCATTCAGGGTAGCACAATGTACATGCAATATTGAAAATACCTGAATATGCAAATGTTCAGATTCTATACAGATTCCTATCAGGCGATGGAAAGCTTAATTTAAAATATTAGTAAATCTAACCTCGTCAGCCTGAGACAAACAGATTTTTTTTCCCCCCCATTTAGAAACAGGAAATGGAGACAGGAGTAAAGGTTAAACTTTTACCTTCTTGCACCAATATTACATTTAGCACCTATGACAGGTGCAAGACTGTACTTCACTAAATGCCATTATCCTGTCTCAGGCTAGAGCAGCCAGAAGGATTCATCCAGGATAATAACAGGTAAGAGAGAACTGCTGCAATCAGCATCTATGAACCAAGAGAGACAAAACAGAAGAAGAAGAGGGAAGGGAAATGAAAAAGAGAAGGAAACAAAGCAGAAAAGAGAGGGAAGAAAAAAGAAAAAAAAAATCAACAAACAGTGAGAGGTGAAAGAGACAGGATTAGAAAAGTGAGACAGGCAGGGTGGAGAAAGGAGAGACGGATAAAACTTCTAATGGAAGCAGCACTTTTTAGTAGACATTAATTTAACAGTTACTTTAATGGTTGATACTAGCTGTATGTCAACTTGATTGATGCGTTGTCACTTTGATAGTTAAGGTTATTGGTAGAGCTGCAGAATTGATGTATTATTACTTTAATTCTTCATTTGGGGGCTTTATTAGGGCATATGGGAATTTAAATTGAGTAACTAAAGAACCTGAATTGATTCACTGGAATCTGATCCCAGCATAGACACAAGGGTGCCTAGCGCAAAAAGAAAAAGCCTATGTGAAGGCATTTCAGAGGTTTCAAATATGAAGACTGGTCTGCACTTTTACTGAGAATACCTTTCTATACTGACAGAGCCATCCATGACATAACCTATGGGGAACCATTATGGAATGGCCATTAAGTTATCACATACGTCCAGTTACTGCCTTATTACTTGCATGCTCTCCACCTTTCTTCTGCCGATCCACAGCCTACCTTAGGCTGAAAGCCCTGCAGGGCAAGGACAATGCCTATAAAATAACCAGGATACAGTGGAATAAATCAAAACAAATGTATTTAAGGGAATGTGATCTTTCCCATTGGAAATCTGCAATTAGGTTTTCAAAATGCAATCCACGTAACCTTTTCCCAAACTTCCAACCTTATTTGTACGATGATATGGAAAGAGTCTTACAGTTGAAACATTTCTCCACAGCTACTAAAGAGTCGAATTCCGTACTTGTTCTTGGACAGTCCAACTCTAGTTGAAAAACTCAACTTGAGGCTGTAATGCACCAAAACCATGGTAGCTTTGCCATAACTTCTAGCTATCTCTTTGCGCAAGAAAAGAATCTTAACATTGCTCTCACACAAACACACGACACAAAAGCAACTGCTTCTTGAAAGACTTCCTTATCCCATGCCAACACAACAGGTGTGCAACCCTTGCTGTTCTGCGTTAGAAATGCCTCTCTCCTATGCATCAGGTCTTTTCCCCCATGCACTAGATTTTTTTCCTGTACACAGTTTTATGTCTGCTGAAGATCCCTATCAGTCATGTTTTAAAAAACTTAAATTAAAATAGGTGGTGTTAGTGACTTTAAGAAGAAGAGCAATCATTTAGCTAATTCATCTTTAAAAGGTTTCCACCTAACTTAATTCAGGCATGATTTGCCTGCAAGGCAGCTCTAATAGGGAACATCAAGTATGATTTTGTAAAGTGGGTACTAGTAGGGAAGTACCTAGTGGGGACCCCAGACCACCTTACGCTGCAAAAAAAGCAGAACTGAAGTCTGGACCAGGCTTACTATTTACTTGGTTGGGAGGAGGCAGAGGACAGGAATGTCCTATGCTCTGTCTGCTTTAAAATAAGCATCACAAAGAAGAAGATGTCTATATCTGTGCGATTTTGTTGTTGTTGTTACACATGCTAAAAAAAAAAAAAAAAAAAAATTTTTCTAAGTTCCCCTTTTTTTTCACCTGGTTAAAAAA